ATTCTATTCTATTCTATTCTATTCTATTCTATTCTATTCTATTCTATTCTATTCTATTCTATTCTATTCTATTCTATTCTGAATCAGTTTGGGAAAACAAACCATAAATGCGTGATGAAGATGCCAACAAATCAGGCATTGAATATGATAAAAAGAAGGATATCACTCCAATGTTTTCCACTGCAAAAACTGTCGAGGTGTCACGGTGGCAAGTGAGTAAAATTTTGAGCTGTGTGCAATGCAAGTGAGTCAATCCAGAACAAGAAAGAAGAAGTATGTTTTACTTACTTGCACTGTGTTTTCTTTCTCTGTGTTTTAGTGGTACGGGATTGTTGACAAGTCTTCTGAAGCTGGCTTCAATTTCTGAGTGAGTACATCGTCTGTTCTTCCCTCTGCTCCCTGAAAAACAAACATAACTTCTCAGCACCTTCAGCACTCAGTGTAATGACACTTTTATTTATCTGTTTCATTTTGGTCACTTGATTGTGGTTCTATGCGCTGACAGGTAAAGACAAGCAATGATTTGTTTGCCTCTGTGTGTTTGTAAAAATTCTGATATAATATTTGCAAAATGCACCCTAGACTGGTCACAAGTCCATCACAGGGCCACATAGAGACAAACAAGCATTCCTAGGGACAACTTAGAGTTGCCACTTAGCCTAACAGTCATGTTTTTGGTCTGTGGGAAGAAACCAGAGTTGCAAGAGAAAACCAATGCCCGCACAAAGAGAACATAAACTCTATGCAGAAAGATCCCTTTTAGGCAACAGCTCTACCGACTGAGCCACAGTGCTGTCCAAAACTCCTTCATATAATGCTTAAATATTATTAAGATATATGTCATAAAACTTTTTACCACTAAACCAAGATAAAATAAAAGTTCTAGTGTGCAAAGTTGCAGAGACAGTTGAGAATTGAAGCACAAAATTATGGTGTATTAATAGTTATTAGAAGACAGTTGCCTGAATTTCGCAGCAACCATCTTACTATTTAGATTAATTTTATTATTTGACAAACAATTCAAAAGAAAAAATCTAAATCTAACTTACAAATAGATTAGAACAAAGGAAAGGTGATTTGATGGTCTCCCCAAATGTGCTCAATAAAACCTACAGCTCATTCCATGTACTGCTACTCGAAATTTACTATATTACTCCTAGTCTGTGAGTTAAAATCATTTTATTTGTATTAAAAAATGACATTGCTCATGCGTAAATTAGTAATCAAGCTGAAATGTAGCTATAGTAATTGCTAAGAGTAATTTCCAGTTAAAACAAGGAGTTGAGTGAGTTGGGGTAATGTCAAGCTATGTTTTTTTTATTATGTTATCAATAAAGTCCTGATGAACTTTAACTTACATGTTTAAGCATGGATTTTTAGGCTTTTTGTTGCATGCAACTGGCAGGGTTGCCAACACATTTATTCCCTGTTGGGATGTTCTCAAACATGTTTTTAACCTTTGGCTTAAGGTTAAATTCAGACGAGTGCAATGTCTGTCGATTTCTAGATCCTCCCTCAGTTAAATCCCTCACCTCTCGAGTTATATCACCGCAGAGCGCTGACTCGACATGAAACGTGACCCCGTTTCACCCGTGGCTACCCCCCCACCCCTTTCCTTCATAGCCTTGGAAGATAGAGGAGCACAGGGGAAAGCATGCCAAAGCAGTAGACACTTTTAAGCAAAGATTAAAGGTTTCTCTTTTTAATCAGTTATTTGGCAGCGATGTTAGCATTTCACCCTGGTGCGGCTAAAGATCAATTTTTAATGCTGCTATGCACAGAGCAGACAGAGTGATTGGCAAGAGAGAGATGCTGTTTACAAAAGATTTATTTACAAGTTTTACAGAGAAAAATGCAGAGGGCACAATTGCCATCTCTTACAGAATTTTAAATAAGTGCTCTTCCTTTTTTTTCACTTCATCAAGAGGCATGACCTCTTTGAGCCCCCAATGATCCCTGCTGTGTATGTGTGTGTTTTCACTTACATGTGTCTCACATGTAAGAATAATAAAGGGATTTACACCTCTCCCTTGTGTTGCATTATGCTTCATTCCTTCATGTTGTGCTGCCTGGGGATGGGTAAGTAGGTCAATCAACCCTGGTATAAACAATCCACCAAGAAAATGCTAATTTTGATCTATACCCCCACCCCCACCTTCCAAACTTCCCCTCTGTTGCTAATAGAGTTTTAAATATACAGTGTAACACCTTCAAAAATGTTAGTATTTTCATATGACATGCCCTTTTATTATAATTATTTAAAATCTATTTTAAAGTTGTGCAGGCAAACCTTTGGTTAATTGATAATCTTTATTTATTTATTTATTTATTTATTTATTTATTTATTTAACAAACACACTGTGTGCAAATTCAAAAGTGCAAACAAACGGGAAGAGAAGAATTGCAAGTTAGTTAAAAGAACAGCAGGTTTATTCCGCATGTCAACATCTTGTCAGTCACATTAGCCATATTTTGTGAAGTTTATGGGCACTTTGTGCAAGGTTAAAAACAGCAGTATTTTTTAAACGTTTTTTTTTTTAACTTGTGCACTGATTGTTGTAATCAGAACAGTTACAATCTATTTCCGTAAGGTTCTAGTTGCATCTGGTGTAATTACTACAAGTTAAATATTGTTCAGGTGTTCAAAAAATCATATTTCTTTAATTATAATTTGCTTTTACTGCCACATCTATCTGTTTTTCCAGATTATTCAAGCAGGGGAGTGGCAATCCATTCTTCGATGGTGTAGAATTTGAATTCTTTTTTGATATTTGTGCAATTGTGAAGTGTTGTTTTTGTTTTTTTCTCATCAGTTAATTTAAAAGACTGATAGAATATCATTCTGATGCATCATATGCAGTTGTTCTGGCACTTGAGGCATGCTTCACTCACTGCAGTTTGATTCTAAACATCACTGCTGAGAAAATGGTACTAACAAGAATGGCACTCTAAGCTGTCCATTTTCATAAAATGTTTGTGACAAAATAGTTTCAGCCTATTTGACTCATATTTTGATGCATGTGATATTTGTACTTACATGAGTTTTGATAGACTTAGACAAACCTGTTCACTCAAGCACTTGTCCTTTAAGCTCTTTTGTTCCACAGCTGCATCACTAGTACATCTAGTAATCATTCACAAATGTTAGGTGAAACACCACATTAGTTTACACAAATGTTACACTTGAGCTATGACAACCAGGCTAATACATGTATCAATTAAGGTTGTATCTTGAAATGTGGTAATTTTTAGACAAATATATCAGACAGAGTCACATACAAAAGAGGGCAAACACATATTTTTTTTACAGGCAACACAAGTTCATCTCTGTTCAGGCCTGACACTGCTGCTCTCCACGCATCGGTGTCTGAGTCCATCCATGGGCAAATCCATACATCCATGCATCCATTCATTATGAGACTGTCTATTCATCTGTTTTCTAACTTTCCATTCATTCATGCAGTCAAACAACCTTCCAGCCAACCAGCCCACACATCATTGATCCAGCGATTGACCCTGCATTGGCTGGATCAATACTCTCTTAAATGGCATCTCTGTAAGTGCTTAGGCACAATGACCAGACATTGTTTGTGCAGTTAATTTCCAAGGTAGCAAGGCCGTACAGGGCTCGAACTTGAGTCGACTCTCATTTAAACTCCACTTACATGATCACGCCAGAAAAAAGAGGCATTCAAACAGAAACTGAGTAGAAAACGATGCAACAGAAAAGCCGTAGTCCATCCACAACTTTCTGCAGTGACTCAACACTAAAGGAAAGCAGGTTTGATACCTGAGTCGTTATACGACATGCAAGAAAATAATCAAACATTCAAATAAAATAAAACAGTATATGCACTTAGATAAAGAGCAGCAACCCTCAAGTAAAATCTAATTAAACCATAGCACTCTTGCTGGCTCCACAATTATGTCAAATTCCTGAAAATTACAGCATCCCTACTATATAATTTTTGTATTTTAAAGAAAGAATTGCTTTGGATAACAGCAGTGAAAACATTACTTTTACAATAATAACCCAAAGGAGCAATAGTTTTCAGCAGGCTGATGTTTGGAATGTCAGTGTTCAGCTTATTGTGGCTCAGTGCGCATACAGAAACCCTGGTTGGGTTAGAGCTGGGGCCAGGTCTTGGCATTAAATGAGTGGGACTCTGACAAGTCTCAGAGTTCTGTCTGTGCAGTTCACAGGTCTCGTTAGCCAAGGTGTCAGCAGGGGTGGAAATGGCTGTGTGTGAGTGTGTCTGTGAGCGTAGATGTGTGTAAGCTGAACATTAGACAGCACTCCTACCTCCACCTCCTCACCTGACACCAGCAATAAAACTAAACAGGCCAAGGTGCTGTGCAGTGTGTGTGTGTGTGTGTGTGTGTGGGTGTGTGTGTGTGTGTGTGTGTGTGTGTGTGTGTGTG